GAAAAACTCTCAATATAATTTCTGCTGAATGTGAGCCATTGGCCATATTAAATACAATATCCGTTCAGTAGGTCAGAAACTTTCGATCAGAGAGAAGTGGATTAATTTTTAGCCATGTTGTCTTGTCGAGTAGTTAGTTTTGTATTTCTGTTATTCTGTGTCTTCGATGTATTTTCGCATGACGACGTAAATAGTTTGGAAGATAAAAGTGCTATATGGCCTTCAAATGATAGCCAATTGATATTTGCGCATGTTGTAAGACTAAAAAAATTATAATTTTATGATGAAAATGAAGTAAATTAAAAGTTTGTATAATTAACAGATCTATCGTCATGGTCATCGAAATACACTTGATTATTCAGACATTTATCCAAACGACCCATATATTAATGAAACTCATTGGCCTGGTGGATTTGGAGCACTCACAAATGTAAATACTTTTGATTAACAAAAATGTTTTTTGATATAAACTTTCGTTGACAGGAAGGTAAAAGACAACAATTTAAATTGGGACAATATTTCCGAAGAAGATATCACAAACTTCTTGGTGATAAATATTCACCAAAAAAAGTGTTTGTACGTTCCACTGACAAAGATCGCACTTTGATGTCGGCACTTGCTAATTTAGCAGGTTTATTTCCACCACACGCTGAAGAGAAATGGCATGAGGATATTGCATGGCAACCGATTCCAGTTCACACAATACCTCTGAATTTGGACTATGTGTTGCGTGGGAGTAGTAATTGTCCAAGATATTCTGCCGCTCTCAAGAAATACGAAAGTGAGTCACCAGAAGTGCTGCGTATTTTTGAAGAAAATAAAGAAAATATCTTATACTGGTCGAAAATGTGCGGATCGAATTTGACGACCATTGATGATCTTTACTGTTTATATGACGTACTACTTGTCCAAAGTTTCCATAATAAAACGTAAGTAACGAATAATTATTGGTAATACAGTTTCAACTAACCATATTCATCTATATAATTTTGAAGACTTCCCGATTGGGCACGAAAAGCAATCGAACCAAATGGTGCTTTAGAGTCAATTAATGATTTTAGCTTTAAGATGTTGACGATTACAAAAGAGTTGGCTCGACTACGATCTGGATTTTTGATTAAAGAAATGTTCCAACGATTCGCTAAAAAGATAAACTCAACTTTGGAGCCAAATTGTTCATTGTGGTTCTACTCTGGTCACGATGGGACAGTTGCTAGTCTTCTGGATAGCCTTGGAGTTTTTGAGGTGATTAGATGCATTAAAAGTTGATATGATCTTCTATTTTTCAATACTTTCTTAAGAGTGAGGGCTAAATAAATGAATTATTCTTGTTGACAGGCACATTTACCACCATTTGCATCGAGTGTACATTTGGAATTATACAAAGTTGGCGAAGAAGAGCATTACATTCAAATCTTCTATAGAAAATCTGAGGAAGAAATCCTTTTGCCATTGAATATACCGAATTGCGGGGAAAAGTGTTCGCTGAATCAATTATATAATTTGTATAATGATATTATACCTGATCATGATCATGACACTGAATGCCGTCTTACCAACTAAATACGGCTGAAAATGTTCAATGAAATTATTTTGATAAAGTATTTCGAAATGATCCTATAATTATAATTCAAACCATCGATGAATGCTCCAAAAAAAATTCTAAACATTAGAAACATAAGCGGAACTTTTAAAGATTTTTTCGAGACTCTCTCATTGATGGTAGTACTTTTTGATCAGCGATTAACAATGTTATATTTTATGTTCACAACTGATAGCACAGTTTTTCTAAATCTCATTTTTTACGACTTGTTACCATGTTGAGAATCAAATAAACGCAAATAAAAATTCTTATCTCTACGGATATACTTTTTTATACAACAAGATTTCACAAGTACACGTCCATATTGGATTGGGTCAGAATAAAAAGATCGACAAGTGGCGAAAATTAAAAAAAACATGTTGATTAGTTTGAGTTGAATGTATTATTATTTTGTGATAATAAAAATATTTGAAAAAGAAGATGAATGGTAATAAATTTTTTAGCAGAAGAAGCACAAAATAAATGCATGAATGTTTTGTCGCGATAACATTGTTTGTTTATTTTTTGTTCTTATTTTTCTTAGCGGCAGCGGCAGCAGCTTCTAAATCAATTGGAGCTGGTTTAACGAATGGAATTTCATTTTGATATTTTTCTGGCATGTATTTTTTCAATACTGCTGGTACTTTGACGCCAGTCTCCGTTTGATGCGTTTCCAAAATAGCACAGATGACACGAGTTGTTGCGCACATTGTTGCATTCAACCTAAATGAAATAATATTACCATATTTTAGGTTTGTTCATAAATAATTTGAATTTTTAGTTGTGTAAATACTCACATGTGAACGAATTCAGCGCTGGCGTTCATTTTCTTTGTTTGTCCATAGCGAACCAGCAAGCGACGAGCTTGATAATCCAAACAATTACTACACGAAACTAATTCACGGAAAGCACCTGAACCGGCAAACCATGCTTCCAAGTCGAGCTTCTTTGAGGCGGCATGATTCAATGCGCCCGACACAATGTTAACGATACGATATGGAATTTCAAGTGCTTGGCAAAAGTGTTCGGCATTTGAAATCATTTCGTCCATCATTTCCCATGATTTATTGTCATGCGGTGAGGTCAACACGAATTGTTCGATCTTTTCAAATTGATGGACACGGAAAATACCACGAGTATCACGGCCATGTGAGCCAACTTCTTGACGGAAACACGTTGAGAGTCCAGCATATCTGTAATGATTTAAATTGGTCATTTTACACATCATTCCAAACGGATTTGTTGCAATAAAAGTTTTTATTTGAAGAGAACGTACTTGATTGGCAGTGATCCTTCTGGAATCCATTCGTCACGATGGTAGGCAGCAATTGGTTGTTCAGAAGTGGCAATCAAATATTTTTCATCAGATTCGCCTTTTTCGCCTCCCTTTCCAATGACTTTATATAATTCATCATCGAATTGAGATAACTGAGCGACCTCTTGCATAACCTAAACAAATGATTGAAGAATACGAAACGAATTATTATCGTTAAAAATGTAAACAACAATAGATAGTCACCTCTTTTCGCATGAAAAATGGAGTATACAATGGAGTGTATCCTTTGTCGTACAACGAATGCAATGCAAATTGTATGAGAGCTTGTTCAAGGAACACTGCTGGTCCGGTTAAGAAATAACCACGTCCACCTGAGACAACGGTTCCTTTTTCGCCATTCATTCCGTCAATCATAGCAATCAAATCAACATGTGAATATTTTCCACTCGTTGAACAATCGCCAAAGGTGCGTTCTACTTTGTTTTCATCTTCGTTATCGCTGACCGGTACACTGGGATGTAAATGATTGCCAACTTCCCGCAATGCCGTATTTCTCGTGCTTTCCAATTCGACAATTTTTGCTTCGGTATTAACAAGAGCCGTATCGATGAGTAATCGGGCCTTTTTAATTTGATTGATTGTTAGCTCTTTCAATCGATCGCCGGTCACATTCTCCAAATCCGATGTAATATCTTCCGGTACGGGTTCATTTTCATCGCCAGGCTCTTGTTTCTTCTTCATTTTTTCGCCCACCTCTTTGCTGCATCGATTTTTCAATTTATTTAAATTATCACGATTCGATACACATTTTCGCCATTCACCGTCGGTTGAAATCACGGTTTCCACCAAATTCAGATCTTTGAAACGTAACTTTTGATTTTCACGAATTTTATCGGGATCGCCGCCCTTATCTTTACGGAATAAATCTAAATCCAACACCATTTTGATTGGTTTTACTTTATTTAAAAAATTTCCTACAGGTCAAACCAATGCAGAAATTAGCTCTGACGTTGTGCAATTCAATCAAAACGTGGCTTGACTCAGACGGCTTTCAAATGTCATATACAAACTTACTCATTGGACAATACATTTTAATGTTGACAGATACATTTTTGTTATTACATATATTTTACCGATAGGGATAGGCTTTCGATGTGACTATGTTTCAAGAATCGTTCACATTACAATAGATTTGAGCCGATGCCATATTTATTAATTTTTGATTGTGTGTTCATATATTTCTTACTGACTAAAACTTAAACGAATGAATATTATTGAATTTAATTAATTGGTTCTTCATTTTCGGTGTTTTCGGTGTTTGCAGTGTCTGCTGCAGCCGCAGCTGCTTTTTCAGCTTCCAATTTTTTTAGTCGTAATCGTTCTTGGGCCAATCGACGATTTTCTGCGATTCTTGCCATTTGCTCTGATGATAATGCTGGTCGTGAAATCGGTGCATTTTCAACTGGTTTGGCCAATGGTGTAGATGCTTCAATCGGTGGTTGTTCGCGCAATCTTGGCGTTGCAATCATGCTTGAACGAATCGATTCAAATGTACGTTCATGTGCCGGTGTTCTGGTTAACATCGTATAGTTTTGAATTTGTTGGTCGATAATTTCGTCCAATTCATCGATTGGTTCAATACCTTCCATGCGACTTTCAGCTTCTTCGTTCATTTCGTCGCCATCCGGTTCTTTGTTAATGGCCAAATCTTCCAATAAACCATGACGATAGCGGTACATATGCGTTTGTAATTCTTTTTTTCGTCCCAGTTTTTCAACTTGAGTTACAAAATCATTGAATTGATAATTCGGATACAATCGATGCGCCCAATGCTCCAATCGTTTCATAACACCGTTCAAATCTTCACGCTCGTGACCTTTTCCACGGAATTTAAAATCTTTGAAATAATTTTCAACGGTATGAATTCCACGATCCGATTTCAAACGTTCCACATTCAAACGCAACTAAAAGAAAGCATAAAGAACATTTTTTTATACGAAGTTTTTTTAATTTAATGAAATGAATGAATTTACCTGTGGTCGTCGCACTGACCGCTTTTTCGGCTCAACTGTGATCGGTTCACCATTTTCATCGGTTTTTTCTTCACCATCTTTTGCATCGTTATCGTTATCGTTATCTTCGGCATCATCGATATTCCCTTCATGAATATTTTCATTCAATTCGCCTGCATCAGTATTAAAAAAACTATCAATATCGTCACCAAAAATATCCATCTTTCTTGCTGGAACACTTTTCAAAGTTGTAAACACACAATGAACCATTCCAAATGTCAACGAATTCGCGCTAATTTTTGGTTAGTTTGATTTTCTTCCGCATGTCTCCACACACCTATAACCTTTAAAAATTCAATGCGCTCTACGAATGAAATGGGAAATTTTCGATTTGAATTGATGCTTTTTTAAAATGAAAAATTACAAGCATTTTTTTTAAATTTATTTCCAAGAAAAATTAATCATAGTATTCATTTGAATATTTGCCATTGGCAGTGGTGTCGCATTCATTAGTACAAGTGACACATTTAGCATATGGTCGTACACATTGATTTATAAAACGTCAAACACGAAGTGGTAGACAGTCTCCAAATTGTTTACTCGTTTCTAACACACAATAGCTCTAAGTGAAGTGATTTTTCTTTTTATCCCATAAAAATAAAAAATGGCAGACAACAAGCTGTACGAAATTCTTGGTGTAAGCCGAAATTCAACCGATAGTGAGATAAAAAAGGTAATTTTCATTTGTTATTATGAATGAGAAAATTGCGATAGTCACATTGTGATTATTGCTGTGCGTGGAAAAGTTTTTGTAGAGTGTTAAATTCGTATATAAAATGTGACTCACGATTGCTTTGTGAATGCGACTTGCTGAACGTTTTCGAATGTGTTTCCCAGCATAATGAGGCAGTAAGAGTAGCGATGGTTTGCAAACATTGCGAATATAATGCGCTTCATTTCACGTGTACACATTTTTTTTCCGATCAACGACGACAGTTCTAAATAAATTCATCAGCTATGTACATCGCGTGAAAACCTTGAGAATATATAAATGTTTTTCTAAACTGAATGAAATAAAATGTGTGTGTGGGATGGTTTTTTCCACAAGCGATTGTAAGGACTTTTTGTTTGCCTCCGTGTATAACCATACAAAGAACTCAAAGTATCTGGCGTCGCAAATGAAAAGAAAATCTAAATTTTAGCACTGTCTCTATCTCATGTCTCATACTGAAATAAATCGCAATTATAATCAGCGTTATAAAAGCAGGCACACAAAGTATAATAAACTTGCAAATTTAATTATACAAAATGTCATATGTTTTTTTTTTGTACTCTTCCGAGATTTTAATTAATTTATGTGTTTTTCTTTCTTTTTTTTGCGTGTGTGTGGTTGGTTTTCTTTTCATTACAGAATTATCGTAAGCTTGCCAAAGAATTTCATCCCGATAAGAACCCGGAGGCAGGCGATAAATTTAAGGAAATATCGTTTGCATATGAAGTTCTGTCTGACCCAGAAAAACGTGCAACATATGATCGATATGGTTTGAAAGGTCTGCAAGATGGTGGCGATGCATCTGCCGATGACTTTTTCGGTCGTATGTTTGGTGGATTCTTCGGTGGAATGGGTGGAATGGGCGGAATGGGTGGTATGGGCGGTATGGGTGGCCATTCAAGTCGACGACCAAGTCCCGAAGTTCAACAGCAGGCTGTCACACTTGAACAGTTGTACAATGGCAATGCAGCAATACCAGTTGAAGTAAAACGTCTGCAAAAACTCTGCAAAGCCTGTGATGGACGGGGTGGAAAGGCTGGGGCAGCTAGAAAATGTTCCACATGTAGTGGCACCGGAACGAAGGTAATGAGCATGAAAAACGACATTGATTTTATGAAAGAGTCCTCTTCAAGCAAGAGTTTTCTTTAATTGAATTGTGAAACTTTTGTTTTATTCTTTGAATTCATTTCACACCGTTTTGATTTCTCTATTCGTCAGGTAACTATTCAACAGCTTGGTCCAGGCATAGCAAGACAGTTACATGCTCGTTGCCCCGATTGTGGTGGCAAAGGCGAATCGTTCTTGGAAAGCGATCGTTGTAAACCGTGCAAAGGACAACGAGTTGTTATGGAAGACAAAACATTCGAAGTGCATATTGATAAAGGTATGAAACATGGCCAAAAGATAACATTCAAAGGCGAAGGAAATCAAATAGTTGATTGTAAAGAGGCTGGTGATGTTGTCGTTGTATTAGTACAACAACCGCATAAATTTTTCGAACGATCCGGTGACAATTTGATTATTGTTCACAATATCACATTGACAGAAGCCTTGTGCGGCTTTCAATTTCCAATAAAACATTTGGATGGTCGTGATTTGGTGCTGAAATGTGCACCCGGCGAAGTGGTGAAAAAGGAAACAATCAAAGCGGTCAAAGGCGAAGGCATGCCGATCCATCGAAATCCATTTGAAAAAGGCAATCTCTATATTCGTTTCAATATTGAATATCCGGCCAAATACGAAATGAAACCGAATCAATTGAAACAAATTGAAGAATTACTTGGACCAAGACCACCATTTGTGATGCCAATCGGCGAACATGTTGAAGAAGTGAATTGGCAAGAATACGATCCCGACCATGATAGTGATAATCGACAAGACGCTTACGACAGTGATGACGATGGCCATCATGGACGAGGTGCCGGTGTTCAATGTCAAACTTCATAAGAACAATAAAAACATAAATATATACGGAGTAGACGCAGAAAATTCACGGCAATTTTTCTACGAAATCAATAAGAAGAAAAAAAAAACCCTTTTTTTTCCAATTTACTTATCTTCTATCATAAACAAAAAAAAAAAAAAACAGAAAACAAACACACAACTCTCAATTTTAGTTTATCGTCTTTTTGAGAACCATCACTCAGATTGATAAAAAAAATGTATTTCATATAGTCAACACAATTTGCATATAAACAACATGGAACGAATGACTAAAAAATATGAGAATTAGATATTCGCAAATACAAAAAATAAAATAAAAAAATAATAAATTTTCAATGTAAACACACACAAAAAATAAGTAGGCGTATAGAATAAAAAAATTTCAAGCTGGAAAATTTGGATTCGACTAAATTTTTATTGCAGCAAAGAGCCACACATTCATTCCTTAGCACAGCTCAACTAGATGCATGCGAAACAATAAAACTATTGTCTAAAAAAAGATGCAAACCACTCGTGAATAGCATTAATTGTAATATCAAATTGTTTTACGATCAATAATAATTTTTAATTTGGTAAAAGTTTCTATTTATTAACCATTTGGAATAAAAACAACCACAACAAACAACTTACAATTGAAATTACTAATTTTTTTTTACTTCTTTCTCGCTTTGGCCTGACCACTCACATTTATGTTTTTCTTAATTTGTTTTTCTACACTTCAAATCAAGAAAAGGAGGAAGAAGAATCACCTATAAATGATATTATGATCTGAAAACGGATTATGAACAAATCGATATTTATGTAATATGTGAAATACATTGTAAAATAAAAATACAAAAATAACGAAGCACATACGCTTCTCAATAAAGGGAAAAACAAACAAATATTACCTTTTTTTCTAAACAAGAAAATGTGTTCTGAATCTTTATAATGCGCACGTGTGTGTGTGTATTTTACCACGTCATGTGTATCATTTATTTTTTAACGGTATAAATGCTGTTGAATTGGTTTTTAGTCTTTTTTCGTTTTTTTTTTCTTCTGTGGAACTCTATCTCAAATCAACCGTAGTACAAAATTTCAATCCATAGATAAGCCAGCTTATTTTCATGGAACCGTGCTGTCTCCCTCTCTCTTGTTGCTTTAATTCCATTTTATGTGTTATCACTAGACATCTGTATCAATTTTTGTAACAAGTGTCATTGCACCCTTTACTCTCTTTCGTGTTGTATTAAAATGAAGTCGCATCGCTTCTGAATCAATCAATAAGAAATCAAATTTCTTTCGCTCTCTATCCCTCTATCTTTATTTCTTTTTGATGAATTTCATTGATTTATTTGTCCAACGCAATCGCATTCAAATATTTAAATCTTTTACTGATAATCATTTCTCACACAAACATTCATTTTTTTTTAATTGTTTGTTGTTGTCGTTACTTTGTGGTCGAGATTTCTTTTGGTGTTTTGAATTTATTTTCATGTGTGTACACATTGTGTGATGAGTGTGCGCTCGTATTTCATCTCACTTTTTTTTATGTAATTTCACAATTGTGAATAAAAGTACGTACGTCAGTGTGCACACTGTGTCTTTGTTTGCTCAAATTCTGTTGAACTCGGCTCACATTTTTTTTTTCGGATGCACAACAAACGCATAAGAAAAGTGAGAGCGAATGAGATAAATGTATTGTATATATTTGGTTGGACAGAAAAATGAATAAAAATGTATTGCCACACATGCACGTTTTGCGCGTTCGTTTACATTGAATGTGCAGGTTTATTTGATTTTGGCGGTGCCAGTGACACTTATTGCAGATAGAAAAATACGAATATTTTATATTGTCGAATTAAATGTTGAAAAAAACAGATGCTCTCACACCAGCCCGTGTGTCCCTTCTTTATCTCACTTACTCTCTGGCCCGTTTCCATTCACTCTTTAAAATCTTTTGTTCGCTCTATTATGAGTGTACAAAAAAAATTGTTTTTATTCGCATTCTGTGCAAACTTCCCCGATTGCTAATAATGTCGACTAATTATGGAAAGAACTTCGTGCAATCTCATGAAAAAATGCCGCGCATTTTGGCTAGAATATCTATTTGCAACGCATCAAAAGAAGCTCACCTTTTGCACAATTTCAAAATGGAAGAACATGTTTTCGTTAGATGAAACGCGCTCGCGCACACAATTAGATATAATGCGAGAGCAAAAAAAAACATTCTTGGCCACCAACTTTTGCAAAGCCTCGTGTTTGACGAACGAAACTCGCTAAGAATCTCATGAACTATAAACGACGATCGAAAGAGAGAAGAAAAAAAAAACAGCGTAACAAACAAGAAAAACACAACACATCAATCGCTGCACATGAAAACAGGAGAAGAATCTGAACGCACTTGTAAATTCATGGCAATAAAAACCAGCACCTAATTTGATGTAACAATGACGTTGATTTGAAGTGAGAATTTTGTGTGCGTGCTGCGCGCTTTTTTTTCTACTCTCTACTCTTGCAACGGATACCCAATTTAGGTATCTATCATGCCTGACATACGCGCACGAACACACACACACACACACACACGGTTGCTGCAATGTCGCTGCTGCCATTGCAATTTACACTCTTCAAGTGCAGCTTTCGATTATCCTTCAGAATGATTGTGTTATTTTTGTTCGTTCTACTAATGCATAATTCATGAATGTTTGTGCATCCAAATACAATGCACCGACCGTCGGTTGGCTGTCTTTTTTAACCGAGAATCGAGTCGTTAAATGATAACGCATCCTAATATGATGATGTATTATATCATCAGCGACCACGGTTAATATCGGTTTCGGTTAATTCCCGCGCCAATATTGTATATATGTGCCAATTTGACGCTGATGCGATTCAATTATAATATAAACGCCATATTATTATTACCATTAAAACATATAATTTCGATATTTATTGACGCGATTTTCTTCTTCATTCGTTCTCTTTCGGCTGTGATGTGTAAAGGCGGTATATAAATCAATGCAATTGTTGGATGTGTTTGCATTTGGTATGCATATATCAATATTTTATTGAATTCGAGCCATCGTTGTAATCGCGTGAGAGAGTTTAACTCTCAAATGTGAAATACAAACAAAAACATAAATACACAATGAAGAACAGAGAGAGAACAGACGGTGAAAAAAAAGACCCAACACCAACAAAAACCAACATCATAGACGAGAGAGCGAGAGAAACTAGAAAAAGAAGAAGAATAAAAAAAACTGAGCCAAGCGACAAAGGCAAAGTCAATCGTGTTACAGATATGGACGGTGAGACATACATTTGTCACAGCGTTTTAAACGATAGATAGACGTAACATATGCGAGCATTTGTGGTAGCCTCAATTTCATTCACGTATATACAAAATATACATTTATTACTACACATACCATTGTCGTCGTCGTCGCGCGCAAATTAAAATACTCGCGCTTTAAATGCGCTGATCTCTTGCTTACTCTCTCTGTCTATCTGTATCTGTCTATCGCTAATAAACAGCAACGTTCCGAATCGCTCAATACATCAAACGCCGAAGTTCGTGCGGAGCAAGAAGAGACAGAGAGCAAAGTAGAAAAGCACACCGAGTACACAAGCGAAAACAAAAACCAAACATGAAAAACGTGCAAAAAAAGAATATTGTATATACTGAGCCGAATCAATAATCAAGGTAACCTACTATTGTTAGAGGTCTCTTCATTTCGGTGCACGTAAAACGAAGCAATGTTTATCACATTATTATTGAATTCGAATTTCTTTCGCGACGATGGAAGAGACAGCCGCAACAGCATATGAGCAAAGGGCGCTAATGAGCGAGACAAAATGAGAAAGAAAATTTACGGTATGTATGTAATCAATTTGCGATCGTCATGTACCGATCGGCCGTCGTTCGACGAGCGATCGACACAACAGAATGAAAGAAAGAGAGAGAGAGAGAGAGAGAGAGAGGGAGAGAAAGAGAGAGATAGGGAGGTAGGGAGGTAGAGAGAGAATAAAGAGAAAAAAATAATAAAATTAATAAAGAAACAGATACCGAATATGAAATAAACCAAAAAGAAACATCACTTCGAAGGCTGTGCCCATGTTATTATATATTGTGACAACAACCAGCCGCAATGACGATGACGATCTTTATGACTTTGCATAGAATTCAATTTATTTATTTTTGTCGATTATTTAGGTACGAAAATATAGTTACATTAATTTCGTGACCATTGTCTGAGTGGAAATTTTTCGGCAATGATTCATTTTCCTTGACAATTTGTTAATTTTTATCCAAGAACTTGCACTTAACTGACTTCTTTTAACCATCATGGCAAGTTCGCCACCGATACTCGAACGATTGTTTTATCAATGTATTTGTGGTGTTGTTTGTTATTGTTTCGCATCGACGGACTGGACTTTTGACTTTCCGATGACATTCGAAGTATACCTGAATGGTACCAAAAGCGTATGGTACGAATAACAAGAAGAACGAAACGTAAATAATATTGGTTGAACTCTGTATTGTTCGAGAAAAACATCTTTGATATGACTTGTGACCAAATGAGCTGTTATCAATGTTGTGTCGTCACACCATACATTCAACAACTGAAGTCCATCATCCCCATACTAATATGCGACAAAACAAAACAAAATCAATATTTTATCTTGTTATTGTGGTTAGCAAGCGATTGCGCAGCTTCGGAAGAAAACGGTTTTTTGTATACTTTTTTTTCGTTCTTTCGGTTGCGATTTCGATGGATAAAAAAAGAACGAAAATAACAGCCAGCTAGAAAGGATTGTGTTTAAGAGATTGTTGCCGTTGTTTTCCTATTTCGAAATTCACAGTCTATTTTTGTTCATTGTTAACTGGTATAATTTTATGAGACCGCGTGTATTCGGTCTTAATGTGTTTTTTGTCCTAAAAGAATGAAAGATCGACCTCTTTTTTTCTCTTCCTGCCACTCATTTTATACACCGTACACACCGTTAAGTGTAAGTCAAAGGAACGGCACCAGAAGCAAAAAATGAAACACGAATGGCTCGAGCAGCCAACGAAACACAAACACATTAAGATCGAAGTGGAAAAGAAAAAAATCGGTTCGTCTATTTTTAGACAACGATCACCTCCGCCGCGAGAGAAGTGAGTTTCGTCTTCTTCAGTTAAACACTTCTTTCGCGTGTTTTTCAATTTTCCACATTTCTTCAATCTCTGTCGATATGAATGTTTGTGTATGTGTGCGAGAGTGTTTTTCTGGCATTTTTGTTTTGCTTTACAGCAGGGTCATTGGTGGTAATACCTTACGCATATGAAAAGTCATACATTTTGAAAAGTTGAATAATCGAGCCAGAATCGAAGGGAATTCATTGAACTCGATCGTTATGCCACATCCGACTGACTTTAACGAAAGAAGAAAAACCGCTTCAAATTATCTAAGGCCAAATTTGCATGAATATAAGTTGAAAACGTCTTCATGTGACGTCTTAAGCAATCGATAAATTTCAGTATTTTCATCATACAAAACAGTAGCTCGAAATATGCTGACAAATTTTCTTGGTGCGTTTTAAATGCGATAAATCAAATGAATGACCGATCAAAAAGACAAGTGCGGATTGCAGCTATAAAATGAAATAAAATCGAAACGGCAACAATAACAATAATTATAATAACAAAAAAAATAATGATAATATACCGTATTCGATAACCGAAGAGGAAAGTGTAAAAAAACAGAAGTTTACTGGAATGAAGACGATGAAAGCACAAAAGCAACACAAATGAATTTAGAATGAAATGAAAAAGAATCGAACAAACAAATGAACGAAAGAAATGGAATGAAATGAAAGAAAGAGTGTCGGGCTTGAGTGAGAGCTTGTTGCGCAAATAATT